GCAACAGATCCAAGAGGAATCGGACAAGCTTCGACCCAGCTATGCGGGCGACAGAGCTAAAGAGATCACAAATAGAGAACAAGAAGTGTCTGCGTGGGCCAGTTGCAAATGGTTTGCGAACAGCGCAAAGGAAAACTGGTCGAAACTGGGATCTGTTCAAGTTCTTCAACCTGGTGTTCATTGGTCAAAATATTGATAATTTGTTGTTATAAATTAAAGTAACAAATAATAGAACATATCATAGCATTAAAAGTTATTAATAATAATCCTGAGCGTTTCTCATAAATTGACCCTGCCTTCTTTAGAAAATCTCTGCTCAACATCTGGTTTAACAATTGTGTCCGATGAAAAGCACTAGTAGGTAGTAATATTTTACCAGTTCGGAACTTTGAATCGTGCAATACAATGCAAATGGACATCATCAGGGCAGCATCTGGACTACAGAAGGAGAGTAAGACATAGGGAATCGGTACCGGGATTCTATCGATACGATTTAATTTATTTCAATCTTTTCTTGATACGGATTTGTATCCACCGTAATATTCGCGTTCCTCTTCATTTGGTTCGTCTTTAAAAATATATTCATGCTTTGAAATGCAATGTTGGTCCAGGGCCGATTCTGAAGCAGTGTGCCCACATGCTGATTCTGGCTTTATTCTGGAAATAATATCTTAAAAAAATGCTATGTAAATCACCCAAAACGTCATTTGTGTATAGAATTTAATTACTTTTGTAAATAGTTCAAAAATATATCTTCATCATCATTTTTCAATTTGGTAAAGTAATCTTCTGTTAGTTTTTTAAATTTCTGTCGGTCCACTTCATTTAATATTTTCTTCATCTGTATTTTCATAGTTTTCTGGATCTCGGGATTCTTCAGTTTTGTTCTTCCTTGTAGGCACCACCTTCTTATTATATGCCACGAACAAAGAAATTTTTGTGGCTGGTGCTCCATCACATTACTCCAAGCGTTATAGTATTTGGGGTCATCATCCGTCATAAAATAATCACACATCAATGGTTGTTGAACTGCTTCTTTTAGTGCCTGCAAGAAAACTTCTTGAATTATTTGATCTAATCAAATCATATAAATCCAACTTCTTATTTGTGCAGTGGGTTCCATCCATACAAATTATACTGCTAAACTGAATTAGCTTATTTTTCATGACTTTATTCATGAAACCCACTGCAAAATCATCGTCTTTTAGGCGCGGATAAGCCACACAGTTGGTAAATACATAACAATTAAGCGATAATGCCAAAAAATGAAAAAGTTATAACATTCGCTTCATATTTTCAGTAGCCATATTAAGACAACAACAATATATTTTATATGATTCAAGTAATTTACAAAATACTTAGAACAACCAGGTACTTGATTTAAGATAATATATGGTTTATCAGTACCTATTTCAAATATGTTAAACTTGAAATGTTAAATATGTTTTTGAATAGGCACTTATACAATGAATAAAGGTGCTTAGCTAAATCTTTCCATTTAAACTAAATTGCTACCTTGCTGTTTCCAGAGAAATGCCTAATTTTTGTCAGTGCTATTCCATTCTTGAATATTCAAGGTTACCGCCATTATTTCATTATGCCTTCTTTTATTAAATCCATTTCTTGCTGCTAAGTAGTGAAGATCTTTCGGGTTTAGCAAATTCAACCTTTTTTAAAACACAAAAATTTTGATGCGAAATATACCCAAAAAAATATTGTCAAAATTCAACCTGGTATAGTTTATTGGCAGACTCAAGCTGTCTTGCATAGTCAATTATTCTTTGAGCAATAATACCCATTTTCAACTTATCAATAAAAACGGCCTTTTCGATTTGTGATAAATGCTGTGCTCTAATTTCTTCATCATGACCTACATGGGTTTTGTAATACTCAACTTCATACTTTCCTAAAAATACTGATTTTTAGAATTTGCAAGGAATAAAAAGTATATACTCAATATGAGTGTATATTTATTTCAATTAAACTTGCCATTTTTGTTTATTTTTAAAATAAGAAATAAGAATTTTAATAGTCCCTCCTTATTTTTGAGTCCTTAAAGAACAATTACTCTGGAAGTCTAGAATACGAAACGAAAATATGTATTTATCTATATATTTCCAAACATTCTAAACTATTTAATACCTCTGAGATTGCTTCGGTTGCAACAGTAATATATGCGTTTTGAATCTTTATCATTTTTTTTCCTCAGAACGAAATAGTTGGCTTCAATTTTTTCACTCGTGCTCAATTTATCATATTCCTCCTTGCTGGAAAATTTAAAATAAATTACCTCTACTCTTACCTGATGTGTTTCAAACAGATGCTCATTAAAATCTTCAAATGCTGTCAGATTCTTATCGTCATTACATAAAGGACATAAGATGTGCTTCCTCTTTTTGTCTTCAGTAACAAGTTAATGAATATTTTTTAAATGTCTGGTCTTCGAACTGGGAGTGGAAAAATGTTTATTACAGTACTCACAAACCGATTCACCTTCCATTTCCAGCGATTAAAAAAATTGAAATACACACTACTAATTAAACTAACAGACAATTAAATTGCAAGCACTTAAACGACTCTTAAATAAGGCTACTATCTACTAGTTTCCTATAAGTGCGCTCACTATAATACTATTATATACAGGGTTGCTCATTAGTGCGTCAAAGTGCGATATCTCAGTAAATATGAACTTTACAAGAAAATACGTCCTACGAAAGTTTTTCATGTTTAAAAGGTCCACATTTTAAAATTACTTTTCAATATACGGGGTGTATCATAAACGTGTGGTAGTTACCAACTTTGGTTTTTTAAATGGAACCGCCCCTTTTTTCATTCATTTTCAGATTTGTCGTCAAAATTTAATTTAAGTTTGTGTCAAACGTTTTACCTGAAAAATTTACGATTTCCGAGTTATTCGTAAAAATGTGAAAGTTTTGACAGCTACTGGGTTCCACAGAAATCGATGCTGTACACTACCCGCTGCGAATTTTGGAAAACAGTTTTCAGCGATTCTAACAGAAGATCATGATCTACGCGTAGATATGTTTTAAATTATAAGGAAATACTTCTAAACCGCGCAATTAGCCTCTAAACTTGCATGTTTTTAAACCTCAAAA